TACCTTGTCCCTCCATCCGGAGATCCTCCTCCCACAGTTCAGGAGATGAGTCTCTACCTGGCCTTTTCTCTGGCAGACCAAGGAGGGACACTCATCCACAGGATTCAAGGGTTAATGCCAAACATGAGTTTCTCCTCATTCCCCAGCTTCTTCTGTGAGGCACAAGGTATACAGGTAAGGAAGTATGACTTTTTAACCTTTTTATTCAGCATATAGACTTTCATATGTATGACTACTTTACTAAAAAAGAAACACAGAGTCTGTCCCAAAAATGTATACATCGGGAAAAGAAAAACTTGTGTGTGTATATATATATATATTTTTTTGTTTTGTTTTATTTTTGAGACAGGGTCTCACTATGTAGTTCAGACTGCTCTGGAACTCACTGTGTAGCCCAGGCTGGTCTCGAATTCACAGTGATCCTCCTGCTTCAGCCTCCCAAGTGCTGGGATTACAGGCGTGTGCCACCATGCCCAACATAAATATTTTATACTAAATTTATTGTGACATCATGAGATTAATACAAATTACCTTTGGCCTCTGCAATTACAAGAGGTGCTCAAAGTGGTGGTCATTACCTTTCAGACATTTGTTAGTATGGCAAACTCTGAAGTGTGTATACATTTTTTTATTAAAGATTGCAAAGATACATGATAACAAGAAATGAAGATACTAAATAAAAATTTCAAATATACATATATATGACAGCAAAAACGGGATATGAAATAAACAAGAATTTATGTAACACAGACTAATCGAAATACATTAGTTTGATATGATCTTCAAACATTATGTTCTTTCTCATTTTCTTATATTTTTGAAATAATGTAATTATAAATAAAACAAAGTTACATATTACAGTTGAGAAACTGTCCTCAAAATTTTATGATTTATAAACTCCTTGGTTTAATTAATTGATAAATATCATATACTTGTTGATTGTACCACTTACATTTTCTAACAAAACTTCCCACAGAAAAAAATAGACATATTTGAAATCCAAAAGCAACTAAAAAATTCACATTTTAAGATCAGATTTTTCTGTTTCTATTTTATTATATCCCATGCTTTTTATTATATTTTATAAGCATAAAGATATTTTATATAGCATAATGCTTTTTTATAAGCATAATGATAGAATTTAACACCAATAGATATGTAATATTCTTCCCAAACGAATGACTATGAATTAAGTCAAGCATGTAATTTAAAGAAATCATAAGGTTGCCAGAGAAACTATCAATATGCCAAATGTGCACAATCCTACCACATTCATGCCCATGTTTCTCATTTAATAGTGCACACATATATGTAAAAACATACCCCCCACACATATATACAATGCATATTTTCTACAATACAATATATACTTGGGTATAATAAAATAGTGCAGTGATGTGTGGAATGTTGGTGATTTGTATAATTTGAGAAAAAACAAATATCATCTTTGAAGGAGTTGGAGAATTTGTAATATGTACCAGATACTAAATGATATTAATGATTAAATATAGTTATAATAAAATTTACTTAAAAATTAATATTAGTCAACAGTAGAAAATAGGTGCAAAGATATATTGATAACATAACAACATTTATCTTAACAAATTTCCAACCAACAAATTTCACCAATCAAGAGAAATAGACCAGCAGAATGGATTAAGAAGCAAGATCCAATAATATGTTGTATACAAGACACGTCTAGTGTAAAAAGAAGCCCATAGATTGAAAGTGAAAGGACAGAAAACTTCTTCATGTAACAGGAGTCCCCCCCCCAAAAAAGCAGGGGTAGCAATCGTATTCACAGACAAAGTAAGTTTCAAACTTAAACTGATTGAAAGAGACAAAGAAGTTCACTACATCCTTGTGAAGGGAACAATTCAAGAGGAAGAGATAACAAATAATTTATTTTTAATTTATTGAGTATGTCAGAAAGTATATGTGGGTTTTTTTCCCTCTTTTTTTTCCTTTTTCTTTTTCTTCCTCTGATGCTGGGGATTAAACTCGGCACATTGTTCTGGCTAGGCAGGTACAGCACTATTGAGCTAAATCTCAGGCTTTACATTTCATATTTTTAAAATTTATCAATACATTAATCCTTGTCTCTGTATGTTGGTCTACCAAATTGATGAGTTATTTTGGTTCTCATTTTCTTTGCTTTTTTATTTGAGAATTTATGAAATTTGTATATATGAGTAGTATGAAAAGTATTAAGGCCCATCTGTCATTTTCTTCTTTCATCTCTGCTTTCTACCAACTTCCTTTTCTGTCACCACAGCTTGTTTGGTTGGGTGTATACATTTTTTGACAGATTCATATATGACACCCATTCCATGGAATCCTACTTGGCAATGTATAGGAATGACAATTAAGGCATAACCATTTGGGTGAATCTCCAGGGAGTTTTTATGCAGGGTGAAAAAGAGGTTCATCCTTCATAATTCCATTTATAAACATTTTTGAAATGACTAAAGTTTGGAACTGGAGAACAAGTTAGTGGTTGCCAATGCTTGGGGTTAGAGTAGGGGTGGAAGGAGTGAGTATGAAAAATAGCTGGTGGGATCCTGGTGGAGGCAGAACTACCCTGTGTCTTCATTGTCTTGGTGGAAACATGAGCCTTCACATGTGACAACACTGTGCAGAATTACATACATACACTTATAAAAATGAATACAGGTAAAACTGGACAAATCGGAAAGATTCACGGATTATATTTATGTCAGTATCTGGTAGATGTGTCTGCAGTATTTGTCATCGCTTCTTGTGAATCTATAATTGTCTCAATACAATTATTTGTATTTTTTAAAACAGGAAATATAATTATATAAAAGGAGGATTTGGGATTCCTCACATGTGCTAAAGGGAAAGGCAGGAGCCTGGGAAAGACGCTCCCTGTCACTCCTCTGCCCATCCCTACACCCCTAGGACCTCTTCTGGAAGAGGTCAGAGAATCCACTCTACCACTATGAGGCCTTTGCCCCCCTCTCCTTCAGGGCACATGGTGTCCACAGCTCAGAGAATTTCACATCCAGGGCTTCAGTTAGGAGCAAGAGAGATAAATCCTGATAAAGGAATGGGGCAGGTTGGGGAGTGGAATTCTATGAAGCTTATCTCACTAGCTTTACATCACATAGAAAGTATACTGGTTCAATCTCAAAGCCCTCTCTCCATACACATTCACATTTGAGATTTCTATTGTACAGATAAAGAACCACAGTATGGGAAAGGTCATATTTGGCTCAGGGTCCAATGATAGAGTTGGGAATGCTATGATTATCTGAGCACCAATGTCCTAATCCATCACTTCCTAAATTCCCATAATTCACAGGAAGTTGTGGCAGTTTGGTGGAGTGGAAAAGGTCAGAGAGAACTGGGTTTAAACTGCAGAATAGCAGCCATCTATCACACACCTAACCTCTGGAAGCAACTAGTGTGGTTACTTTGAGAAACAGTCTGACAGTTCTTCACAAGTGTAATCATAAGAATCACTACATGACCAGCAATTTCACTCTCAAGAGAAATAATTCCTGTGTCCATCAAGAGATGCCTAGGTAAGTACACTGTGGTGTGGCTGTGTGACAACATACGTTTGGGCAATGAAAAGGAATGAACTACTGGTACACGCGAGAACATGGATAAATCTTGAATACATTGTATTCAAGAAGAAAGCCAGTTTCAAAGGACCATATCTAAATGGTTCCCTTATATGACAAATATAGAATTGATGAAACCATAGAGTCACAGAGCAGAGCAGTGGTTGGCAGGCTTGGAAGAAGCAGGAGAAGTTGCTTAAATCGGTTTCTTTTGGGCTGATGAAAATAATGCAGAATTAGTAGTGATGGTTGCAAAATTATGCACCAAAAGGGTGATATGGCATGGAGACTCTATTTCAACTTTTAAAAGCCAGAGAAAAACATGATATGGCACATTTACTAGCCGGTGATACGACATTATCTCCCCTGTCCTGATTTGAGAGCAGGCAGACTGGAAGGAGGAGGATATAAACACCCTTGCCAGCTGGCAAGGGACAGGTTCCAAAATGGTGGTGCAGACTGAACAACCAGGTTCATGTGGTCTGTGGAATCTCAGCCAGGAGACTGGATGTCAACGACCAAAGTCCTTGATGGGAAAAGTACACCTACTAGTGGTTGTCAGAGGGAGTCTGCCCTTAACCCTGAGCTTCATATGCCACCCTAGTGAGCCAAAAGAAGGACAGGTATTGGATCTAAATTTTGAATGAAATGACCGAGTTCACCTGTAAGTGATTATTACGGAGAGTAGAAGATTGAGACAGAAATCATTTAGTTGTAAGAAAATTGTTATGTTTTGGATACCCTTATAAAAATTGGACTCAGTGCACACTTTCATCACTGTATTTATACACTCATACACACAGAGACCACTGACATTCCCACATATAAAGCTCTGAACCTAGTGGTGTGCTGCTGAATATTTAATGGCTAGATTTCCAGAGAATAGCCATGAAAAATACCTGATTTGTAGCAGTTACTGATTTCTGTGGTACAGCTACTCCCACAATGGTGATTTCAAGGTACAACAGGATGTCTCTGAAAGGAAGCTAAAGACATGTGCACAAAATTGAGTGTTTGTGGACTGGTGTGAGCCGGCTCCAGTAGGACACTGGCATTCCAGCATAAGTCACATTTGTACATTTATGTACCTGCCCAGAGGTGCCCAGATGTGTGGGATTGCTTAGGTTCCTTCAAGGATTGAAATGCTAGCTCTAATTCTGTAGACACGTTAATACAGAAAATATATAAAAATACTGCACATATTTGCTTCTGTAGGCACACTTAGTTATTTGGAAACATACAAAGATAAGTTGCAATATATAAATATGTGCACACCTACGTATAGATCAACACAGGGGAAGACATGCATATAACCTCACACAGACACCAACACCTTTTCCCCCCTAGGAAGTTTATTCCTCTCAACAATACTTTTCTTTGGAAAACAAGCCCCACAGAATTTCTTCCATCAAAAATACGGACCGCTTCATGAATTTGCGTGTCATCTTTGTGCAGCGGCCGTGTTTATCTTCTCTGTATCCCTCCAACTTTAGTACATGTGCTGCTGCAGCAAGCATGACACCCACACACTTCTGAAAGGAGAGGGAACAAACCAACCTGATTTGTTCAGGTGGTTGCCCTGGCCAAGGTTCCATCCTCTTCAGAGCAACATCAGATCAAAGCAAATAAGGCTCCTCTTCTCCCTTGCTTCCTTCCCAAGGCTGTGAGACATGCCAGTTAGCTCCATGTGCTTCTGCACTCTGGGCTCCTTGTGTCCCCTCCCCTTGGCTTACAACTCCAGGCCTAGCACCCCACCCACCCTCTCTCTCATGGTGGGAGTGTAAATGGCCATGGTACTCCCCTTGCTCACCACAGATCAGCAGGGGGAGATGTCAGCCTGCCCTACTTGGATCCCTCCCTGGGGTCCTGTTTTGCCTCATCCCTTTATTACCTTCTTGTTCATGTCTTGCCCGGACAACTGCCTGGCCTTCTAAGTGTCTCCCTGCTCCAAGCTCTCCCCTCCCATTTGTCCCACTATCGGGAACCTGCCATATTAATTATTCTAAGGCACAGTGCTGAGGTCAAATATGCCCCGACAACTTCCAGGGCTAAGATCTAACCATAATTCCCCCTTGATCACACATCCAACTTCTCTTTTCTCAGTTCACAAAGTCACTTCTCCTTTTCCCAAACATTTCTCCAGTCTGTTCTGAAAATTATCTCTGCTATGGAACTTGCTTGCTCCCTCCTTTAGTTCACAGTGTAGCATTTGTCACTCCTCACATTTGTGATGTGGTGCTTTATGGCTTATTAAAACTCTCAAAATGATTTGCAGATGTCTTATTTGTCTGATACTGAGTTAGCCCTGGAAAGAAAGTGGTGAGAAAAAAGACACGGCTGTTTTGTGAACTAAGTCTATATAATCTATCAAGGACCCTGGGGTCAAAGTTTTATGCCTCAAAATCATAAGTGGACTTGGCATGGAAAGCATTTTTTCCACTGTCCTCCTACCACCCTTTCTTGCCTCCCCTGCAACTATGGCCTCCCTGGGGCTGTAGAGACAAAGTGAAAATAGGAGACGAGACTACAGCTTGCAAATTCTTGGAGAACATTACCAACCTCGTGAGCATCATAAAAGCAGCTGCTGGGATGTTGCAAGCTCAGTGTAAAGGGGCATTAAATTTTTACAAAGCCAGTTAGCATTTAATGAACATTCTATGTTGCAACATCTTTATTTCCTTCCTATTATAGTAACTACCCACACCTGCGATAAGCAACTGCTAATAGTTGTGTGAGCTTTGGCTAATTACTTTGATTTTACACCTGCAGTTTCCTCACCTATAATACCATTAGAACTATTTGTCAATGGCCTGGGAAATGTAGTTCAGTGGTACAGTGCTTGCCTAGCATGCACGAGGCCCTGGGTTAAATTCCCAGTACTGGAAGAAAAATTTCTGTCATCTCATAAAGCTTTTAGGATGATAAAATTACAGTAAGGCCTTTAAAAATTATAATGTGCGACACAAATTTAAAATATTATCATTACATCTTTATTTAAGGCTTTCTTTTTGAAATCAATCATATGGCCAGTATTTTGTTTCATAAACAGGTGCTAAGTGATTCAAATACTCTGGTTCAAATGGACGGAAGACGGGACATAGAATAGCACTGTACAACAAAACAATGTGAGCCACAAATGTAATTTTAAACTTAGTATTTTAAAAGACAAAAAGAGGAGTGAGGAGGAGGGTAAGGGGAAATAAGTAGAATAAAGATACACCATTGTAGGAACCTAATAACCTCAATAATTGTAAACATTATATGCTGTTATATGAGCTAATAATATCAACAAGAATGAAAACTGGGATAGGGGAATTAGAGAAGGAGGGAAAGAAGGTGAGGAAAGTGGAAAGGAATTAAAAAAAAAAAACAGAAAGGGGAGGAGGGGGTGAAGAGAGGGCAGGGACAAGGAGATAAAATGAGAACCAAGACCTGTCATGTAGAGGTACAAGATCCCAACAATGAATGTAACTGTACTGTATCCCTAAAATGTACCAATAAACTCAATTAAAGCTGAAAAAATTTAAAAAAGAAGAAAGAAAGAGAAACAACCTGTGGTATACATGTAAGCACTTCCCAAGCTGACTGTAAACTGCATGAATTGTAAACATGTACGAATAAAAAAGATAAGTGACTAGCAAAACTTATTTGAATAATATATAAATTTAACACACTCTATCCAAAATGTTATTTCAATGGGTAATTTATATGAAATTATTAATATTTTACATTTTTTGATACCAAGTCTACAAAATCCTTTGGCTATTTTATACTGACGTACATCTCATCTTGAATCATCAACATTTCAAATGCTCAATAGTCAGACACATACTGTAGGAAAGCATATACAGAAAGCCTTCAACTTAGGACCGAATTTCTTTCTAGGAGAATTGTTCATAAGTGGGAGTTACTTGTAAGTCAGGTTCATTCATAAGCGAACAGGGAGTCTTCTAAGTACAATACAACTGTGAAGGTTCGAAAGTCAAATGTCCATAAGTTAGGTACTTACTGAACTAATTAGTAGTATAAAAAAGTTAGTTAATACCTGTGCAGCTCTGAAGATACAAGAGTAAAAATGCATTTCATGTAGTCCCTTATCCCACGGGGAAAGATATTTCTAGTTTTCTCTCAAATCTACAATATTTAATTTTGGAAATGGCATACTAACCAAGCAATTGGCTGATTTTCCAGAGAAGACCTAGAGTTTGGAAGTAAATGAAGGATACACACAGACCTGTGAGTGAGTGAATTTATGGTGTTCATTTTTAAAGAATAAGTTTCAATATGTAACTTTAAGTCTTTACAGACTAAGAGTTGTCTTTCTGATGGCACCAGTTTTAGAGGTCACATATTCAGCACTTTTCCTTCCTTCAACGATTTTGTTCAAAGAAATGTATGATTCTGAACCAAGTAATTCTATCATTTTGTCTTCCAACAATAACCAGACCATTCATTATTCCAATCCCCAAAGACACCTTCAATTGTTCCAAAACCACAAAGTAGTGTTTTACCATTTAATAGTCTTTCTAGAATGGCTGCTGTTTAGGAATTTTCATTTCTAAAAATACTGGTATTGAAGTATGAATAACTATAGGAATGTGATCAATAGTTAAGTATATAGTTCATCATATACATACATATATATATATATATCCTCGTAACTGTGACATATCAGTGCATAGAATATTACCTGAACCCCTGAGGCTTCTATTTATACCTACTTCCTATCAACACCCCTGTCCCCAAGTCTCAAAGTCTCAACCTGACTTCTATTAGATTACTTCTGTCTGTTTTTGAGCATCAAATAAATGGAAATATTTTTGTTAATTTTTGGGTTTTTTTTTTTTTTTTTTTTTTTTTTTTGTACTGGGGATCGAACTCAGGACTTTTTGCTTGCAAGGCAGGCATGGTGCCACTAAGCTAAATCTCCAGCCCTATATTGGTTTTTGTCTATGAAATTCACCAATGTTGTTGAGTATTGGAGTAGGTTATACCTGGTTGTGGTTGTCCACTCCTGTAATCTTAGCACTCTGGGAGGCTGAAGCAGAATCTGGAGTTTGAGCCCAGTCCAGCAACTTAGTTACTTAGCAAGGTCCTGTCTCAAAATAAAAAATAAAAATGGGCTGAGGAGGTAGCTCAGTTTGAAGGCCTTGGATTCAATCCTCAGTGCCACAAAACAAATAAATGTAATTATTATTTTTTGTTGTGGTGTACTATTCCATCTAGTTATACAATTTATTCTTTCATTTAGTGTTGATATTTTGAAAGTTTTCCATTTAGAGGTTACAAACAGTGCTATTAAGAGTATTCCTAAGAACTCGTTTCTCTCACAGACATACACCCATGGGAGCAAAGCAATTCCTATGACTACTGGGTTACAGAATATATTTATTAAACATCAAAAGATCTGTGCAGGGGTCAGGGATTTAGCTTAGTGGCACTGCACCTATCTCGAAAGTTCAAGGTTCTGAGTTCAATCCCCAGTATCAAAAAAAAAAAAAATCTGTAGCTGTACTGTATACCTAAAATGTACCAATAAACTCAATGAGGGGAAAAAAAAATCTGTGCAGTACTTTAGGGATCCAAAGTCTTTTGATATTTAAATCTCATATTAGCCATACTTAGAAAGTCTCCATTCTGCAGACAAGAAGCAGCAGCAGTTATGAGTAATTCACCCAACAGGATCCAGATAGTAAATGGTGAATCCTGTCTTCAAACCTGGAAACTTTCCCTTTTTGGTTTCTTTTCTAAACAAGCAATACAAAGGCACACTTGAATACTATCATACATATAGGTCCCAATGCTCATTGTGTCATTGCAGTGTTCTTTCAAAATTCACCTACAATTTCACATCTCCACACAAACTCCTGTCCAGTTTGACTCCCACCAGAGTCTGTTAGCTATTACTCTAAAAATAAGAGTGTGCTGGATTAATTATCCTCAGCCTCTGATGTGCTACAATGAAAATGTCATCCTACTTCTCTGAGATCCTCTATGAGGTTGTGACTTTTTGCTCTTGCTTCAGTGTCCCAATTAGGTAGGAAGTGAAAAAGACTCCATATAATATGTATGCCAAATGTTCACGTAAACAGACCCAGCTGGCTGTCAGGCAAAAGGGATCTTCGCTGAAAATTTCTTTGCAAGAAGGGCAGCAGCTGGGCAGGAAATAGGCCAGCTCCAGAGAAGCCCTACTCCGGAGGATCCACATCCCCAGGATGATGGTCCGGAAGAGCTGTCAAGGACCGGTATCTGACTCAGAGGTGACCAAAGGAGCCACAGATTGACTCTCAGACCTAGCCAGAATTTTCCTCTTTTCAGCTCCCGTTTCTTTTCCAAACACCATGTAAGGAAGAGGAGCGTGGTGGTGGCTGAAAGGCAGTAAAAGTTCAGTGAAATCGTGTCTGTTCGTTTCCCTGTTATTCTCCGTCTATGCAAATAGCCTCTACAAAGAGCTAAACTGGGTAACAGCTGAACGCTCCCTCCTCAGGAGTGCCAGGGCAGCATGAAGGGGGCTTTTTTTTCTTTTCCAGCCAGCCCTGCTCCTCCTGGTTGCGTACACTCAGTGTAAAAACCCATACAGGAGCTGGTGCACGGCCAGACAAACGGTGGGCTGAACTTTACTAGAACTTCCAGGAACAGGCCGGGTTTGGTCGCTCCCCTCCTTGACCACCTCTCACGTGCGTCACCCTGCCACGCGACCCAGAGCCCCACCCTGGACTGCCAGCAATTTCCGGGTGCCCAAGGGCCGATAGAGTATTTGCGTATCGTATATCCTCTTGGTGTTGCTCTGTTTGGGATCCAGGAGACTTCTCAGGAAGCCAGGTGCAGAGGGCCTGAGGGCCCAGCCCGAAAGGAGCCTCTAAACACCTCCGAGACTCAACTCCTGCACTCCTCTCGCTGGGGCCAACCAAGAACAAGGAGCAGCCCTGGGACCCAGGCCCCGCGCACGCGCGCTGGGAACCAGCCCGCCTCTCGCGGTGACGTCACGCGGGGCGGTGCTGAGCTGGCTGGCGCTTGAGCTCCCGCAGGCAGTGGGGTCAGGAAGCAAATCTGGGGACCTGTGGCGGCTGTGGCAGCAGCATGGCTGTACTCTACGGGGGTGTGGAGGGGTGAGTACGGCCCTACGGCAGAAGCCCAAGAGGGACGGCCTTGGCCCTCTTGGGCGGAGGGCGGGACAAAAGGTCGCGACCACGCGGGTTGACAGATTGCCTCGCACCTATAGGTCCCGCCACTTTGGGCTCCTGGGTTGCGGGACCGTGCCGAGTAAGGGTATATGCACACTCAGCGGCGCCCTTGCTCGAGTGGCCGTAAATCTTGCGAGTACTCCGGGAGTGAGAGGCCACGTCGGGGGCGGGGTGTCCCTTTGTATTTCACTGCGAGACCACGCCCCTTTTCCCACAAACTCCTTACTTTGCTGTATCCTTTCCCACATTCCTAGTCTAGGGAATTTTACGGAATAAGTGTCAGACAGGGAGTTGCGGGGCGGGAAGTGGGGAGTGGAATGGGGGGGATGTTGCTGAGGCGAAGATCTTTGGTAGAGTATCTGGGAGTTAGAGCTGGTATGATTCAGTGTCAGTTTATCCCGGTGATCTGAAGTGACGTCTTTTCCTGTTAGCACAATAGGATTCTCGGGCTGGACTGAGCCCATTTTCCTGCTCAGAACTTGTCTATTGAAATCGTTGTGACTCTGCGTGTGACTTTGGGTAAGACATTTGCCCACTTTGGTCTTCAGTTACCCCGAATGTACAGGACAGGGATGAACAAAACGATCCATTGATCGCTCAAGTACCCTGCCAATAAAAACATTCTGTGAATTGGGGCTGTGTCAAATCAGGGAACAATAGAAGGTGGCTGTTGTCTCAGCCTTTGAATCTGAGATTGGATTCACTTTTCTGGCAGCCACATCCCACTGCTGACTTACAGACCCCAAATTATTTTTGACATGAGTTGTTAAGGTTGATCTCCATCCTGTATCTGTAGCACTTAAAAAAAAAAAACAACTAAGTACAATATAGGGGTTTGCATTCATCCCTGTTATAATAATTTCTGAGATGTAACATTTTTTCTGTTTGTTAAGAGATTGTTTTGGATGTTGAATCTGCCACTCCATGCCTTAACTTACCTTTTGAAACTTCATGTTATCTCTGAATTGATCAGCAGGTCTTTAGTGTCCTAAGACATCCCAAAAAGTACTGACCAATAAGGAAATATACATTCCACCACCACAGATATCCCTGTAAGTTACTGTTTCCCCCAGTAATCAGCATGGGAAGGTTTAGTTGTTTACATAAGCATAAACTCTCCATGCCATCCATTCATTTCTTACAAGGGTGTCTTGAAGACCTTAGCAAGTGGAGCTGGATTTGAAAGGCAGCACTAACTGTTGTTAGAGAAGCAGAGAGATGCACTATTCTCTATAGCCATCTTTACCAGGTGTTGTTTGTGCTAGTTATGAAACTAGATATATGATCCTGAGATTGGCACACTGGAGCTCATAATCTGGTAAGAGATAGACATAAAACAAATAGAATACACTCTTGTTATACAGGGGTCTTTAATAACCAAGGGGTCACGGAGAAGGCTTTCCTAATGGAGCTTTAATGTGTGGCACATCAGAGAAGCTTTCAAGGTTCATGTGTCCCACTGGTCTAAAGTGACCTGTTCCTATTAGCACATTAGGATTCTCAGGCTGGATTGAGCCCATTTTCCTGCTCAGAGCTTGTCTATCGAATTTTTGATAATAGTTCTGACTCTGTGTGTGACTTTGGGTGTATAAATAGGGTCTCACAGGATACGTAGGATAGCCTTAGGGAAGATGAGCAAGAACTGTTTCAGTTTTAAGAGTCTAGCAGACATTAAATCACAGTGGTAGCTTTGGTAGTGGTGACAGTGTTTGCTGGAGCTGTCTCCATCACTCTGGGCTCTCTGCCTGCATCAAGGACTGCACAAACTTAGCTCTTATCTAAAGTTTCTCTGAGGAGGACTGAGTGCCCTCTTGTGTTCTGTAGGGGAGGCACAAGGTCCAAGGTACTTTTGCTGTCTGAAGATGGGCAAATCCTGGCAGAAGCAGATGGACTGAGCACAAACCACTGGGTAAAAGCCATACTGAGGGAACCAAGCGCTTGTTTCTGATTTTCTTCTTTGTAACTCCTGTTGAGGTGGTGGCTGGGGCTCATAGAGCAGCCAGTAGGGGCAACACAGGTCCTGCAAGCCTTTGTAACTCCTCTTTCCCTTGACTGGGGCCAGCTGATTGGGACAGACAAATGCGTGGAGAGGATCAACGAGATGGTGAACAGGGCCAAACAGAAAGCAGGGGTGGACCTTCTGATACCTCTACGAAGTTTGGTGAGTCTGAGGTGGAGCCAGGGAATTAAATTAACAGCAACACTGAGCCAAGTGGCAACTTTGGATTTAATGACTATAGAGGAAAAGGTTTCCACAGTCTAGTTCCTCCTGTCAGAATTTTCATGATCTTACTCATTCTTATAGCTATAGTTGCCAATAAGCCACAAGCATGTTGGAAGAGCATGGGCTCTGGAGAGCCATTGAGACCTTGATTTAAACTCCATTTCTGTCACTCTGTGACCCTTAAGCAGGTTATTTACCTTCTCTAAGCCGCACTATCCTCATTTTGAAAATTTGCATAGCAGAAGCTACCTCAAAGTTGCTGGGAAAGTAAAATGACCTAATACATCCCCAAATGGTTAGCACAGGGCCTGACCAATAAGCACTGAGTAAATGTTAACTGTTCTTAGCCCCAGCTCAGATCTTTCTCCCAAGCAAGCTGCTGTAGCTCCCACTACTCCCTGGATATACGAGCAAGGTGTTCTTCAGGTATAGCCAAACCCCATGCATTTTACACCGAACGTATCTCTCTAGCATCTCCCTTCACCCTGCTGCTCTACTTGATTAAGAGCAAGCTATCCTTCAAGCTCCAAAGATGGCATTGTCGAATCCTATTTCCACTGTCCATCCCTAGTTCGAGGCTGTTCTTACAGCCATCACTTTTTTTTTTGTACTGAGGTTCGAACTCAGATCCTTGTGTTTGCAAGGCAGGCGGCAGAACCACTGAGCTAAATCCCCGGCCCTAGCCATTACCTTTTGAGGGGTCCTGGTTTGGGGTGGAGGGATTGAGACTGGCTGAGCAAGGTGTAAGGAGAGGTAGAGAACAGGTACAGGCATCTGAAGGGGAGGGGGTTGAGAAAGGAGCAGGTTCTGGGGCTCTGCTCACTGGCTCACTCACCTTCCACATGGCCTAGGGCCTAACCCTGAGCGGTGGGGAGCAGGAGGATGCAGTGAGGATCCTGGTGGAGTTGCTGAGGGGCCGATTTCCCTACTTGAGTGAAAACTACCTAATCACCACTGATGCCACCGGCTCCATCGCCACAGCTACACCAAATGGTGAGGAAGTGGAGGGAGGGGTGAGGTTGAGAACTGGTTTTCTTGGGAAAGCTCTTTAGATGGTAGCCAGCATAGCTTGTCTTACAGATATACCCTGAAGGCAGCCTCTATCCATATTCCCTGACTCTCTTTTCAGGAGTGTAAGTCTCTGCCAGAGCAAGGACCAGGTGGACAGAAGGAGGGAGGACAAGAAAAGCCCCTTGGTGGGAAGTAAGGAGTGGAGTCCAGTGGAAGACTCCCTGCAAAGGAGAGAGCCCCTGGGGGCAGTGTGGTGAGCAGCAGGGTGGGGGAAGCCATGAGTACCAAGTAGGAAGTGGGGGAGCTCTGTGATAGTGGGAAAGTTTCTGGCATCAAGGGATTGGTATTTGAATCCCATTTCCTATTTTGCCAGCTCTACCTTCTCAGAGTAGGGATAGAACTGAGTTTTGGTTTCCTTATCTATAAACTTGCATTCAGAAGGCACTTTTGTATACTCTCCCTGTAAGGACAGGGTGTAGCACACAGTAAGCACTCAGAAAATCAGGTAGAATCACCTGAACACTAGTTGGGCTAGGAGCCATGTTCCCTCAGGGAGGTGCAGACTCCTGTGATTGGAGTTTCTCTGAGCCCCTGGGGCTCCCCTTCAGGCAGGAAATTAACTGGGCCATTTTCTCCTCTGCAAGACTGGGTGGTGATCCCTTTGCTGGGAGTGGGAGCTGGTTTCTGTCCAGACTTTCTGAAGTCAGAGTTGTTCTGTTCGAGCCCTGCCCACACTGAGCCTCCCCACCCTTTCCCCAGGTGGGATCGTGCTCATCTCTGGGACTGGCTCTAACTGCAGACTCATCAACCCTAATGGCTCTGAGAGTGGCTGCGGTGGCTGGGGCCACATGATGGGAGATGAAGGTTCAGGTGAGCTTACACTGGGCCTGGCTCAGATGCCTGGACCTTCCTCTTCCTGCACATTCCCAGCGTAGTGTCCCCTGCTCTTGGCCAGCTCATCCCTTGGAGCTCTCTTGAGAGCAACTCCTCCACTTGACCAGGGCAAGATAATGCCTGGCAGATCATAGAGATGCAAATGCTAGACTAACTGCTGACCCTACTCTTCAGTAGTGAATTGCACCCAGGCCATGGCCTACCTGCATTGACTTTTGAAGACTTAGGGAAGAGTTGAAACTGAAGGGTCAGGCCACAGATGCCAGGTGGTGCCATACCTGTCTGGCAGTGGGAAAGGAGTGTAAAAATTCCTCCCACTTTACCTTTTTGTGTCTGACATGTACATTTTCATAGGGTCCCTTGGGGTCCAGCTCATGACAGCCTGTGACAGCTGACCAGCCTTGTTATGGGGTAGGAGCTGGTGTGACACAGCCTTGCTTATTCTGTCTTCCCCCTCCCAGCCCTCCCTTATCTGGGTCAGTCAGATGCAATTTGATTATAGGTCCTTCACCCTTCTTCACCCCCTGGTGGGAATCGGGAACCTTAATTTGCTATCAAACCCATATAGACCACTAACCCTGTCTAGATCTGAGTTTCTGCTCAGCTTTGAGAGATTTTCTTAGCCTTTTCTGCTTTCTACAGCCTACTGGATTGCACATCAAGCAATGAAAACAGTGTTTGACTCCATTGACAACCTAGAGGCAGCTCCTCATGATATTGGCTACATCAAGCAGGCCATGTTCACCTATTTCCAGGTACTCCACTCCTTTCTCAGTGAACACATACACCTTGGATAGGGCAGTGGGGACCAGCTACAGTGGAACAGCTACAGGAGAGGGTCTGGGTAGATCAAAGTTGGGTCAGAGCTACAGGTTGGAAAACTGTAGGTAAGGACAGGATTCAGAATGATGTGGGCAGCGCATTCCAGAAAGGTGTCTTGGGAACAGTTGGTCTGGGAACAGGTGGCTAGCTGGACTTCATTTTTGGGCAACTAAACCCTGATAGGAGATAAAAAGCATGGACATTCTAAGCTAGGATGAAAAGTATGGAGGTCCAGAGGTACAGATAGCAGGTAGAATCTGAGCAAGTGCTGGCTGCTTTCTGGTTTGAGTGGGTCAGGAGAGCCCAGTAAGAGGTAGGTAGGGGAAGATCTTGGAGAGGTGCAGCTATCTACCCAGAGCACTGGGGATTGACTCCTTGTCTGTGCTTATTTGAGGTGGGTTAGAAGAAACAGCTCCCTTTATGAGAGCCATAGGTAAAAGGTAAGAGAGGTAGAAGGGAGAAGAAGGAGAGGATAAGTTTATTTGATAACAATTTCTCTGCATGAGGACCAGTCTTTTTGTCTAGCCACTTTGTTAAACTGGGGCCAGAGCCAAGGTAGGAGCTTAGAAATGCTGAAAGGGAGGGCCTGTCTTCCCAGGGCTAAGAGATTAGCGATTCAGAGGAGCTTTGGCTTGTGCCAGGGTGAAGAATCTAAGGGCCTGAGACTGGAGGAGAAGACATCTCTGAAATAGTTGCTAAAGGAAGTTCAGTTAAGCTTTCCTGACCCAGCCACTAGCATGTCTGTTGTTCTCTCTTATATCCTGTAGTCATTCTGAGCAAGTGGTGCGTGCCTATAATTTCAGCTCATCTGTAGGCTGAGGCAGGAGGATCACAAGTTCAAGACCAGCTTGGGCCATCTAGCAAGACCTTGTAGAAAGATAGATAGATAGATAGACAGGCAGACAGACAGACAGACAGATAGGGCTGAAGGCATAGCTCAGTGATGGAATGCTTGCCCAGTATGCTTGAGGACTTAGCTTTCATTACAGCACTGCAAAAAAAACACTTACCAAGGTTAAATGAAACAGTATATAAAGTGCTCAATACATCACCGTAGTTGCTCAAATTTAGTGCCCCTTCTTTTACTAAAATGTATTCTGGGGAGTCACTGCTTGCTCCAGATTTTAAAGGCATTCAGGGTGGTAGGTTTGTTGGTGAAAGAAGGACCTTATGTGGTCAAATAAGTTTGGGAGAAATGAATTCATTTCTTGGTCACAGTGCTTCTCAGAAACTTTGATTCACTAATGTGTGTTTCTCTAAAGGACAGTTGCAGTATGCATTATTTCTTAGATACTTTTGACCAAAGAACTCTTACCACAAGTACTTCAACAAACCACAGAACACTCTGGTGAACTCAAATCTGTACCTTCGGCTACCTTTAAGCTAATCTGTAACTAGAAACAAAGTCCATGTTGGGGAAAAGAAAACTTTTCTCAAATGAGAACAATCTCAAATTTGTATAGCTTCTAGAACTTAAAACAAAACAAAACAAAACAAAAAAACACCCAGAACTGTTCAAGCTCTTCACACAGTAGAGACATTAGGAGGGCCAACTTGGGTGGGCACAGTAGGGATTTTCTTTGCTCCTAATTACTGTCTTATGCTCCTTCTCTGCCTCCCAGGTGCCAGATCGCCTAGGAATCCTCACCCACTTGTATAGGGATTTTGATAAAAGCAGGTTTGCTGGGTTCTGCCGGAAAATTGCCGAAGGTACTAGAGGTGGGGGAAGGGTTTCCTCTGGCTTTGTTCTCTGAAGACATCACTAATTAGGGGGCAGAGTGGGGTTCATATGAGGTCTGCACACCAGTTTCCCTCTCATTCAGTGACCACAGTCTCCTTAGGCCTACTCAGGCCTTGGTGGTGGAGCAGAAGGGCAAAGGGGTTGTATTGGCAATTCTACCTGGGTTTCTCTCCTTGACAGCTATCATGTGTTGTAACAAGCTATATGCCTGTTTTTGAGAAATTTAGGAATCAGTTGTCTTAAATCTATTCCTTTTCTTAAATACAAATATACCCAAAGAACTAAGGAATTGAGGAGATACTGGGCATATTTTGTTGGGTGTCAGAAGCTAAGCATAGGGCTTGTGTGTCTACACACTGCTTTTCTACTGTAAGGCTCACATTCCCTTAATCTGGATTCCCTCACCTTAGGGCATCCCAAACCTCTCTTGGATCCTTCTGGAGTAAGACCCTCCAGAACAGAGCCTGGAAGGCACTGGCCAACAGCAGACTTCTGGAGGAGGGTGGGGTGCTGACAATACTGACTTCACAGCCAGGGTCCTGGGTCCATAGAACTGAGAGACTAAAAGGAACAGATTCACAGTACCTATGTTAAGGTAGTAGCCTGGTGTTGGGAAGCTCTAGGGCACTGCAGCTCCCTGTGCCTGATGAGCCACTCTGATTGGTGTCCTCCATGTGGGGTGGTGGAGAGATGACAATGGGCATCCACCCTGACCTAGACTTCACAAGCTTCAGGTGGTTTTGTGGTTGCTGCCTGGAATAACCCAGGACAGGTATTGCTCTCAGGTATTCACCTGCCACCCCCCTCCCTACCTCAGGTGCTCAGCAGGGAGACCCCCTTTCCTGTTATATCTTCAGGAAGGCTGGTGAGGTGCTGGGCCGGCACGTTGTGGCAGTGCTGCCTGAGATTGACCCAGTGAGTACAGGTGGGAAGTGAAGGGCAGTTGCTAGGCCAGACTTGGCCCTTTTCCTTCAGTGATGGGGCTGCCTCATTCTGTCAAGTCCTCTCCTTTCTCTTTCCTCTCTATTGTTGTTCTTCTTTTTTGCCTTTGTGAATCTCCCATTTTCTTCTTCCTTTTTTTTTTTTTCCTTCCTTGAGTCCACCTTCTGTTTCTTGGCTAGAGGAGAGTATCTTGGTTGGTTGGGTGATCTGAGGAAGCCACCCGTGCAGGACTGGAGGCTTGGTTGGCCCACAGCTTACATTTTCCGCCCTCTTCCCAGGTCTTGTTCCAAGGAGAGATGGGCCTCCCCATCCTGTGTGTGGGCTCTGTGTGGAAGAGTTGGGATCTGCTGAAGGAAGGTAAGTCTGGGGTGGGAAAGAGGGGGGAGGGCAAGGGCAGAGGATAGGGCTGGGAAGGAAGGGACCTAGGGAAGCTGGCTCCCTCTGGGAAAACTGGGACCTACGCCTGAGGACAGGCCACTGATGCTTCAGCCTAAGGCCTTGAGCCTTCTTCTTTTTCCTTTTTTTTGGTACTGGGGATTGAACTCGGGACGTTGCACTTGCAAGATAGTTGGTGGCACCACTGCCACTGAGCCTTTTTTACTGTTTGGTATGTTGATTGAACCCAGCGCCTTGTGCATGGTAAAGCATGTTCTCTACCACTGAGTTGTACCCTCAGCTCCTTAAACTCCTAAAAAGGTGTTATATTCCAATTATTTATTAAATAACCACTTTTAAAACCAAAGTCAAATCTGAGAATCAGAGCTCTGCACACCCTTAGATGACCTGTGGTGATATCCCTTATCAATATAATCTTGGCCAAAAGAAAAGAAGCAATGACTTCTTAGCCTGGCAGCCTTCTCTGCGGCAGTTTCACCGTTTCCATCTGACATGATACAGTAGCTTAAAGACCCCCAGTGAAGTTCCTGGCCTTGCATGCTCTGGAGCTGAGAGAAAGTCAGGTCATCAGGCTGCTGGCTCCAGACCCACAGCTGTTTCTTGGTCCATACACCCTGTGCGTTGGAACTTTGGCATGTGGGCCCTTCCAGTACCTTCACAGAAATGCCTGGAAATCTTTGTCCCTTCTTTTCCCGGTTCTTCATACAGGCCATTGGTCTTGTCTCATTTCTGCCCTTTCATTTTTCCTTCCAGGTTTCCTTATGGCACTGACCCAGGGCAGAGAGACCCAGGCTCAGATCTTCTCTGGCTTCACCCTGATGAAGCTGAAGTGCTCCTCTGCTCTAGGTGGGGCTATATTAGGGGCCAGGCACGTCGGACACCTTCTCCCCACAGACTACAGTGTCAATGCCATTGCCTTCTACTCCCATACCTTTTCCTAGGAGGCTGGTTCTGGCTCCACCCACTCCATACCCACCGGACATTGGATGTTTGAAGGAATTTTTTTCCTTTTTAGAAAACACTTATAGAAGAAAATAAAGGCATTTTAACCAGCCCTCAGTTGGATTGTGTTATCAAACACCTATGCTGTGTACACCTTCAGTGTACCTCTAGCAGATATCCCAGAGGGCTTAGGAATGGTTTTGTCCAGGGTTTAAAGCCCCAACTTCAGATGCTTGGTCTATAGTCTGCATCTACTCATCATGCTCTTGGGAGTATGATTTATCTGTATCACCCCAGTGTATCCCCCCATTAGTATATGTACACACTGTGTGGCTTCCAGTTAACTTGAGACCTCGGTTTTCTCCTGTCAATGAGTGTAATGATTCCTGCTTTACCAGTCAATGGAACTAAGTAGTCTCCTCATTAAAAATCATATCATATCAGACCATCCTGAGGGATCCAGAGAGATTTAGAGGATGGCACAATTTTAGTCTGGGAGAATTTTTACCTCACTGGATTTGGTAGTTGTAGATTTCAGTTTTTCATGTGAATGAATTCATAGGATTACTGAAATCCAAGGCCACCTAGACATCTACATATTCCTGGCTGCTCCTGTCCTGGATATAGCATGAAACTTTGTATTTGTTTTGTGGCCCTGGAAATGGTGAGCATCAGTGAGGAGCATACATGATTCTCATCCACTGGGTTCTGTAGTTTGACCAACAAAGACAAGCCTAAAGCTTCCTGTTTTGCTGCCTGTTCAACTTGATGAATAAAGATACTCTTGATCCACAGTGGCTGCCTCTGTAGGGGTCGAGTGTAATAGAAGACATGGATCATGTCCTGGACATCAGTTCTCAAACTTATATGCATGAATTCTGGAATTTATTTTAAAATCAGATTTCTGTTGTCTTCTTTCCTCCTCTCCCCAAGTGGTTAAGGATGGGTGAGATAGATGAGTTTTCTTTTTTCTTAACAACAACAGCAGCAAAGTAAGATTTTGCTGTGTTGCCCAGGCTGGTCTGAACTCCTGGGCTCAAGCAGTCCTCAGCCTCCAGAGTAGCTGGGAAATAGGCAGGCAAGCCACTGTGCCCAGCCATGAATTTTCATTTCTACTAAACTGATTAGGTAAAGGTAACTTCTGCTGCAGATAAGCAGCACCTGTATTTGAGGGAGTCTGACACTGAGTTCTGACTAGCCCCTCTCAAGGGTTCATAGAAACTACCTTGTTCCCTAAGTCAGATGACCACATTCACAGTGTAGCCTTCCTACAGAACAGAATGGCTACAGCTCTCATCCCATCAGCAAGCTAGACCTCTGAGCAATAAGAACTCAAGAGATAGTCAGCTATCTGTCTCCAGCTTTGACCATGCAGATCCAGCACTCAGCACATCTCCAGCTTGCACAGAACAAGGACACACCCATAGCACCTTTGCTATATCTTGTAGTCCTAATAACACTGTTGTTGGACTGGTGAGCTTGGAGGTCTTTTTTTTTAACATGCGCTCAAGATTAGGCTCAAATGTAGACTTCATAAATACTGAGACTTACTTATGTTCTTTACATATGACCATCTATCTCACTATTGTTTAGACTCTGCAATTCCATCTGGACAGTGGAGGATTTAGAGCAAAGTAAAAGGCATATCTTTTTAGTCCCAGTATATGTGTTGAATAAACGTTGTTTGAGAAAATGACTTTTTTTGCCCCTGTGCTGGAGAGCAAACCTAGGGCCTCATACATGCCAAGTAAATACTCTACCAACGAGCTGTAACTCTAGACGCCCCAAAAAAGATAGCCATAAAATGTATAAGGCCAGATGTGTTCCTAGTGCCTATCATAGAGTAGATGTGATAAGACTGCCTATTCTCCAGTTAGTAAGTCTATGTTACATAGGTTACTGTGCAGAAAATCATGAGGGTTTTTTTGTTGTTGTTCTATCCCATTAAAATTTATATTTTCCTTCATCCAACGAGGTATCAAGGTTAATTCATGGGATACTGTACTACCGAGGCATCCCTGTAATGGTCCCATGACAAAGATAAGAAAGCAATAAGAGCTAAACTTAAGAGGCTTATGCCAGGTAGATAGCTACTATAGTTCATTCTTCCTGGAAACCCTGAGCTGTCAGGAAATCCCCACTTTTTGGTTTTTGTACAGGGGATCAAACTCTGGACCTTGTGCTTGCAAGGCAGGTGACAGAACCACTAAGCTAAATCCCCAGCCCATCCTGTTTTGTTTCTTTTAGTGCATGTGATAGAAGTGAGTTCTGCTTGCTTGTTTGTTTGTTGGAGATATTAAAGCTCACTAACAATACTTTAAATTAATTTTAATGAAATATCTCAAAAATTATAAACAGGCAAATCAGCTTGTATTGTTCTCAATTTTGTGAAGGCGGTAATAATAGGGCTCAAAACAAAACTTATAGGCCCTACTCTTGTCCCATGGTCTTTTTACTGTATGACAGATTCCCTAAAATCACTGGGAGATTCCAAACTAGGTATAAACTGAGATAAGTATAAGTCACTAACCCTATCTCAATAGCAGGCCCCATGTCTGCTTGTTAGCCCAGTAGTGTCAGTGTCTAAGACAATGTTTGGTACAGCAGGCTCTCAAACTTGTTTAGTGGTTAACAGGCAGATATGGAATTCCTTTCCTTGTTTTCTAAGTAGGAGGTGGTTTGCCCAAAGCAGGAAAATACAGTAAGTAACTATTCAGTTTTCCTTGTAGCCCAAGGATTCCTTTATCACCTCTTTGTTCCAAGTATTACTGTATATATATTGCCACTAATAGCTACCATGTATTGTCTTTAATATGCCAGTCAACATTTGAAAATTTGAATTTTCATGGTAGCCCCAAGGAGATTTCATACCTTTAGAAATAAAACAGGCTAAATGGCACAAAGAAAAGCTGGGAAAGTGAGATTAACTCAGGTGTATGACTTCTAAGCTCATTCTTTTACCACTTTATGACTCTATTTGGAAGGAAAATACAATGAAAATTATCTTGAGATAAAGAAAAAAAACAAAACCTCATCACATATTTCCCCAATAAGATGATCCATAGTGACCCAACCTTAGGAAAAAGGTACCACTGCCAGCAAGTACATTTTATTCTCATTTTATTGAGATTTTCAACAGCTGCCATTCAGTTTGTATAGCAATTTTTAAAAGTATTTTTTTCCATTTTTGATGTTTTTATGAAAATTATTTTGTTTTAAATCCCTTTCCCTCCCCCCAAATAGTATTAATAACTTCCATGCCATGTTTATTTAGGAGGGAAGAAAAGCCAGCATTTAAGCACTGTGAAGCAGAAACATGTTTCTAGACCTAGGCCAGCTGAGGTGCCAGGCTGCCCAGGTCACCATCCACACCAACAGCTGGAGGGCCGTGCACAGACCCTCTAGGGCTTCTTACTCCACAAGCTCCACTCCTTTCTCCTTTCCACCTCTGTTGTGGGCCCTTTCCCTCCAAATGTGTCCAGCAAAGGCAGCACAACCTTTAATACATGGTCAGTTTTGTAAATGGAAACATGACACGGTATGTAGAAAGTTCAGAGATTCCCCCATCCAGTCTAGGGGGAAAAGAAACACCTAACCCAGCACTGATAGTTTTACCTTCTTATCCGCTCAAGCACATGCACATTGAATGGATCTATCAGATGCTTCAAAAATCCTGACATGTAGCAAGTTGCTTATAAAAAAGTTGAAAATTATAAAAATTTCTGCAGCAATTGAGGCTTTTATGGAACTTCTGATAGCAAAGCTGGTTCTGAAAAGGAATTTCTTTGACATACACAGTAGCTTCCCTTATGGAACTCCATGTTTAGAGGCTTCCATTTAGACCACAGGAAGTTGAAATCCAAATTTGAAAGGCTCTTTGCTGACATAATGGCATACCCATTAATGGAATATTGCTCAGCCATTACAAGAATCAGCATGTCACAGATGAGCCTCAGAAACATGCTAAGTGAAAAGAACCAGATGGCACATAGTATATGACTCCATTGACATGAAATGTCCAGAAAAGGTGTATTTACTGAAACAAACAGTGACGGGAGTGGGAACAAGGGCTCACTGAATGAGCATGAAGGATCTTTTGGGAAGGATGAAAACATTTTAAAGCTAAGTAATGGTTATGGCTGTACCACTGAGGAAAGTTATTGAAATGTGTGAATTTACTGTAAGTAAAATATGCATCACTAAAGTGGTTTTCTAAAAAAGAACTCCCTGCTTACCAACCACCTGTTGAGCATTAAGCATTTTTGAAAGCTTACAACAGGACAGAATTATAGCTTGGTGCTGATTTATAGAGTGAAACATCTTACTATTTTATAGAAAATATATTTCATTAACTCTAAAATAGTAAGATATTTAAAATGTTTATGATTGTGGGGCTGGGAATATAGCTCATTAGTAGAGTGCTTGTGTGGCATGTATAAGGCCCTGAGTTTGGTCCCCAGCACTGAAAAAAATTATTTCCATTTTTAATGTATTAAATAGATTAAAAGTATTTATTATTTTAAAATAAAGGTAACCAATAAAAAGGTATAGATATGGAGAAGAAAGCTGAATGAATCTTGCAATGTATCTCTCAGCAACAAAATCTAAGGAGGCTTAAAAATTGTGTAAAATAAAGATGGTGCATCTATCCCTTTACTGATTTCTTTCCTGTCCTCTGAGAGCAGGAAGTATGCATCTCTTAGCTAACACCCTATAGAGACCAATGTATCCACATATCCTATTTTCATGAATCCCCTAAAACTAACACTAGGAACAGCACGAGGGTTGGGTATGAGGGCAAAAGGCCAAGTAATATGAAGGAAATACGAGTGTTAACTTGGGTAGGTTTCTTGCTCCCCGTCCCTGTAGCAGCCTCAATATGGGAAAAGACAGAAATGGGGAGGGGGGCAGCGATGCCTCTTTACATATTATGACTAAGTCTGTGGATGAAATTCACAGGGAGCAGAACATAGGCTGTACCTTACAGTGACCAGCAGAACTAACAAGCCCTATAGGCAATGAAGAGTGAAATGACTCTTGAGAAGTGCAGCAGAAGATCAAGTTCTCAATAAAACCAAATCAGCCATTTCACAGGTTAGGGTTAGGCCAACTTGGTCACCTCAGGGAGCAGAACATAGGCTGTACCTTACAGTGACCAGCAGAACTAACAAGCCCTATAGGCAATGAAGAGTGAAATGACTCTTGAGAAGTGCAGCAGAAGATCAAGTTCTCAATAAAACCAAATCAGCCATTTCACAGGTTAGGGTTAGGCCAAATCTTGGTCAACTTTGTCATTTTTTTACCTGTTGCTGTACCTCAGTACTACTTGAACGAAGCAAGATTATTATCCTGTCATGCCGGGACCCTTACTGAAGGCCCACTCCACCAGTCACCAGAGAGGGTGCATTCTTGAACACAGGCTATTAGTTACTCATCTACCTAGGGGAGTGGTGGCAAAACTATGGCAAGTGTGCCAATCAGGTTGTATGTCATCACTGAAAGCCCTAAAAGGTTTGCTATCACTGAGCTAGGGTTTGCAGCAGTCCTAATGCAAGAAGATTCATTCCAGTTGTTTCCTTTAGCTACATCTCCACACAACTTTCCTCTTTAATGTGTTAATTGCCATTGTATTTACCTGACCTCCTTAGCCTCTCTAAATCAAGACAAAAATCTGACATAGCAATAAATGATTTGGGAAGTGCTGCTTAGTATTTCCCTAAAAGCATTTACTTTTAAGCCACAGTTAACATTATAATCTTGATTAGAGATATCTCAGCTGTGACTGTAGAAATTAAAGGTTTTAAAAAGATCCAGCCTTTTCTTTATGATCTTTATGGCCTGCTCTTTCATGATACCCAAAAGTCAACTTACTATAGACAAAAACTGGCCCAAGACCCAGAGCTGCATAAGCCCAGTGCTTGGTTTTATCCTTCAATTTTCTGTCACAGTTCAAAGGTCTGGAGAAACTGAAAAGACATTCTTGTAACTTTTTTTTCCTTGAAGAAAAAGAAATTTTCACCTTAAGAGTTTTCTAGTCAAATAAATAATCACAATAGTCAGAAATTAATCACTAATACACTAACACTGGAACCAGCCAGATTGGCAACTGTTAAAAAAAACAAATGTTCCATTTCTATATAAATTCTCAAACTTCTAGTTGCCAAAACAAAAATAGAGTAATGTCTTAAATTCAACATCAAAGTTTTCACTTATAAACATAAGCCTTGTCATTAAAGGGCAAAAGTGCTCAGCTTGACTTGCACCCAGAACCTTTACTATGAAGAAAAGTCTGGAACTGAGGAGCCCAGCCCTTACTCGGTGAAAGGCCTATAAAACCCACATGACTTTTCTGCTAAGAAGCTGGCAAACTCTTCAGGGGTGAGTCTGAGGCCTGAGGGACAACTGTGCCCTTACCTCACGAAACAAATTAGATGCAAAAGAGTTGAGCCATAGGAGGAATCACTGGAGGCAATAATCCTATTGATTAAACAAGGGATCACCTTGCTAGCTGCTTCCTGATCCTGGAGTCAGCACACTGCCTGAGGACAAGAAACTCTAGCCCTCAGGTTCCAGGTAATCTGGCTGAGTTAGTCTTCACCAAATAGACTTTGTGAAACCATGCTGAAGACTAACATCCACAATGGGCCAAGACAGCAGCGGGCAAGATGAGCCCTCTTGGCCCACACTGAGAAGCTTAACTTATCTTGGCATCAGAAGGACAAACCTTCAGGATGGATTCATAGGCACTCTGGGTCCTTGTAGGGCTTTCAGATGGGTAGCCAAACAAGAGTCTATTATACTCCTTGTGAAGGAAATACCCAGGTCTTGGAAAAGGCTCTTCCTGCAACCCCAACACATTTCCAACAGCCTTCAATTCAGCATTCTGAGCTTGGGTGGCTAATGGAGACTGGAGCAGGAACAGCAGCCCCAGGAGACAGAGATTTCCTCTATTTATGAACAGTGGACCCTCAAGTTATAACTGGCCTGACATATGAACAACCTAAGTTACAACCAGAATTTTAGTTTTAACTTATGAACAAAGTCTTGAGTTTTGATTGCAATGCTGGCCACTTGTGCTTCTAGATGGTCTCCGATACCCATTTAACACTTAAAAAGAGTTCTGGGAGGAACATTACAACATACTCTCCTGTATGGGGTTACCTGCGAAATCTTGCCAATATCTCTCTAAGGACACTGAGATCTGCCTGTATATAGGACAGAGACTTTGAAGGCTGTGTAGAGGAGCTTGAGCCTTCAACCTGCCCTTATGAATAAAGTGAGTTTGTACCTCAAATGCCTTTTCCTTATTAGAGGCAACAAACCCAGCTGAAAGTTGGAATAAAGTGATTTTTTTTTTTTTTTTTTTTTTTGGTACCAGAGTCCTTGTGCTTGCGAGGCCGGCGGTGGAACCACTAAGCTAAATCCCCGGCCCAAAGACATTTTTTTATTCAGAGTCCTCCCTGAAAATGAATTAACAGTTGCATTCTCTCGAGGCAAAGGCTTTGGGAATTAATGTGCATGTCTGGCAATACTAGTTCCCTAAGCTACACTTCTATGACACACGACCTAATGATGCTAGCAACCTTATAAACTGAATGAGGGGAAAGATGTAGGTTTGTATTTTGAATTTGGCATTAGTCTATACTTGTTCAAAACAGTCAACAAGGGGCTTGGGTGTATCTCATTGGTAAAGTACATCGCCTAGCATGTACAAAGCCCTGGATTAAATTGCTGGCACTGCAAAAAACAATTCAACAAGTGGGTTCATAAGAACAAGAATTTCTTCCACTTTCCATTCCCTATTCCTTTCCTTCCAACCTCTGCCCTACATCTACATACTGAATTTACACTGCCTTTATTTCAAATTACATGATTTTTCCCTTATAGGCCTATCACACAGACCAGTAGCAGTCATACAAAGGCCACTACATTCTCAGGCCTCTGCAAGCCCTTGTCCTGAGAATGACCGTAACTAGACATATTCTCTTTCACACATGACACTGCCATCTACCCCTCTTACACAAAGGCAGCTCCTGGTGCCCAGGTTAGTTCCTTGGGAGTATCAACAAAAAACCTCAGTGAGTTACAGGCATGGAAGACAATAGGAGCTCACCCAAGAAAGGTCAACCCATGAAACTCAAAAAGCTGTGTGTGTGGGAATTGTAATATTTGATAATACCTTTAACTGTCTCAGAGGATCAGGTTCCATCATGTGGGCCAAGCAGGACTCCTAAGTCATTTCTGAGTTCTTTTGCATAATCCTATAAGGTGAGAAGCATACATATTGTATAATGAGCTTCTTGCTAGTGTCCTAAAAAACATATTTCCTTGAAAAAGTGAATAACCTGACGAAATTAAGATTCCAGGAGAACCAAGTGTTGGTAGGGTTGCAATATAATAATACTAAAAAAAAAAAAAAAAAAAAATTTCCCTAAAAATTTCAAAAAAAAAAAAAAAAAAAAAAAAAAAAAAAAAAGTTGTCCTAATAAATTTAAGATAGCAAAAGATTCAAGGATGATTTCTTCAGGCTAAGCTGGTGGCCAGAAAGCCTCTCATGGTTTTGGTAACACCTTAGAAACAGTAGGCCTGGTATGGAAGAGTCAAGGGGAATAGACACCATGAGGGTCAAGATGGCAAATCAGGGCCAGAGATTTAGCTCAGTGGCGCCGTGCCTGCCTGGCAAGTGCAAGGTCCTGAGTTCGATCCCCGGTATCCAAAAGAAAAAAAAAAAGATGGCAAATCAACCCTAAGTTCTCTTTCATCTGATAATGATCTAATGGTAGCTGTAAATAGAGGCTTAAGACTAGGACAATAGTTACTAAATGACTGAAGTGACAATATAACAATCCTCCCCTTACAACTTTCACTAATCTTCAAAGAGTTACTATAAACCAAGAACTTTAGCTATTTTCTGGAATGGGGTTTAGAGCAGAGAGACAGAAGCTCAGCAGACCACTGAGAACCCCAGTGTGGTGTGCAAATCCCCAGGGTCATGGTTTGCGTGATCTATTTCTTCAGCTTGGCCCTCTTCCCATTGAGCTTAATAGGCTCCACAAGTAGATCTCTGCTGTTCCTTGCTCCTGGTATGCTCACAACAGGTGAGAAGGGTATTTCTTAAATACCCTGCTTCGCTTGGTCAGCTTTTTTTAACACAGACAGCAGGACATTCTTGATCGCAATTTCCATAACTCAAAAGAGCTAATTTGAAACAAAACAAGAAACTGCTCCAAATGAAAGTCAGTAGAACAAAAAGAAATAAATACTCAAGAGGCTTGTAGTAAGACTGAGCACATTAGCTACTCAGTCACAGTACCCATCTAAACCACCATTCCCCATCCCAGCTGTGTATCCCTTGCCCACCCCACCCCCGCTTCAGCTCTGCCCTTTTGTGCACTGCTGCCCCCAGATGTGGGAACAGGTAAGTCCTCCCAGAAGCTTTCTCTTGAATCAGTATTTCACTCCTGGAATAAACTCCTTGGCGTCTGGGTTCAGTTTACTTTTGCTCTGAAAAAAAAAAAAGAAAGAAAACACAAGTGATAACAAATTCCAAGGCAACCTACACTTTACAACTTATTTTCTCCCCGCTTCTTTTTTTGGAGGGGGCAGTGCTAGGGATCAAGTCCAGGGCCTCACACATACTAGGCAAGAGCTCTTTCACAGAGCTACCTCCCTAGCCCAACACTACGCCTCCCTCCCCTTTTCAGTATTGCCAGTACCTTCCCTTTAGCCTTAAGTAAAGAGAAAAAGAAACTTCCTGTAACTCAGACTGGACTGCTCTCAGTAGCTCCTAACATACTCAGCCCTGAACAAGGTAATTTTCTCTTTCTTGCTTTAGACTCCATTTCCTTCATGATTATTTTCCAAATTTCATCAGAGGCTTCTAAGTTCAACTCCAAAAAGAATTTTTCAATTCACTGAATACATTAACGTGGTGAAAGTCAGGGTATTCTATGAAATCAGTCAAGTCACCACAATCTCTTATTTTTCTTCATCTTTCTATACTCTCTTTGGTTATCTACCTCAAACTTGGGAAAACTGCAGGTCACAATCATGATTTGTGTAGGAACTACACTGCTCACAATTCTGACACCACATAAACATGGAAATAGGGAATTTATTTATCTGATCTAATTATAAGCAGAAATAGCCTTTCAGGGGAGTATATTCCTTCCTGAACAGTTATTTTATAACAGATTCACTCAGAAGTAGAGAATTTTAAATACACATTTGGAGGACAGTAAAAGAGAAGGACAGCAGCAGATGATCAATTGAAACCACACTTCTTTAGTATTCAAAATGTTATCCTTCATCCCAGTTCTTGGAAAAGTCCACTGGGAGAAAATTGGCAACACTATTACTTTCACAGTGCTCTGTGAGGAGCAACAGGCCTTCATTGCAACCTCGCGTCAGTTTCTGTCTGAGCAGTGGAGAAACAGCAGCTAAGATGGCTCCGGAGATAATCTGCTGACGTCTGGAGGGCCAGAAAGAGTCTGTGACTACAAATCCTATACTCTTCTTACTACATCACATGTGGGATTATAAATGGTGCTTACCAAAATATCTTCAGAATCATGACCATCGCTGACTGACAGTCCATTTAACTGTTGCTGTAACTGTCCCATGGCCTGAGGCAGGTCTCGTGCTGGAATAAACCAGTCTTGGTCTTCTTCATCTAGCATCTCCTGAAAGCAGCGGTCTAGGAAGTCTTGTTCCTGCAGCTCTTCCTCCACCTAGCAAGCAAAGCAGGGCAGGTGAGATGTATTGATCCAGGGGCTCCATCCCTTCCATGGTTTTCTCCAATCCTGTCCTTCACAGGTTATTAATCTGCAACTAAGAATGATTTTGTATAAGACCCAATAATTTTTTTTTTTTTGGTACCAGGGATCGAACTCGGGACCTTGAGCTTGCAAGGCAAGTGGTGGAACCACTGAGCTAAATCCCCAGCAAGACCCAAGAATTAAGATGCTTCTAATGACGAGCTAGAGAAAGCAAATTTTTAATTTTTAATTTTTTAAACTGAATTCCAACAAGATTAAAGAAATAGTTATCCAAAACAACAAATTCTAGGTCTTCACAGATCTTGTAAGAGCTATAATATGTGACAAAGATATTTTCCATTTATATAGCCTTACAGAAAATTATTTTACAGCTTGAAATTCTTCTTCTTGTAGAGAAGGAACTCTGTGTATGTCCCCATTTTGTGGGAAATATACAAAAGAGATAAGTAGTATATAATTACTACTTAGACAGTGAAGATTAAATCAAAACCAATCTCAGCTCCTGGCTCACTTTTCTAGTAATGACTCCCCTAAAGCAGAAAAATAGAAAGGTTTTAGAACCTTACAAAGACACAAAGAATACTTTTTGGCCTATCAGTAGAAAATTATGCCATCAATGCAGTATCCTCTCAAAATAATAAATACATATATGAACATATAAACAACTTCATATTTCAAAATAAAGCAATATAAATCTAGGATATCTTACACATTTTTGCAGACAAGGTACTCTTTGTAAGAATATAGTTCATTCTGTAGGTTTTCTGTTTTGCTTTTTTCTGAGATAGGGTCTTTAGGTAGTCAGGCTAGCCTTGAACTTGCCATCCTATTGCCTCAGCCACCTGAATGTTTGAGATTATAGGTGTTATTATGCCAGGCTCACTTTGCAGATTTTTATATGATTTTACTTGTCTTCCCAGCCTTCTTGGTGACAGATTCACAGTTCACTAGCACCACAACAAGTAGGAGTCAAGCAAAAGATAATTCAAATTGGCCTACTCTTACCTCATGAATTCAGAAGAAAAATCACAGGCAGCAAGACTTAAAAAACTACTTTAGTGTCACAATTGGCCACTGATTTTATTAATCTCAAGTAAATTATATAGTTATGAAGTTCTTAAAATAACTAAAGCAAAATATTTCCAAGCTACAAGATTTAATATGACGTTGTGATGAACATTATATTCTGATATATTCTCTCAATTCTTTTTTTACCCCACCCCCACCCCGTGCCCCCTGCACTTGCTACTAAGCAAGGGCCCTTGTTCATGCTAGGTAAGCACTCTACCACTGAAGTACACCCCAGCCCTCCCCATTCTTTTATATATTCTCTTTCTAAAGCATTTTACTTCTGATGTTTCTGTTTACCATGCTTTACCATGTGAGCCCCCCCCTCTTTTTTTGGTACCAGGGATCGAACTCCAGACCTTGCACCTGCAAGGCAGGCGCAACGCCACTAAGCTAAATCCCCAGTCCCCCATTTTTTTATTGTAGCAATAATCCTTTTCTTTACATAAACATTTGTAAATTAAAACTAAGAAAATCAAGAGACAAAGGTTATCCTTAATCTCAACACTCAGATATGGATGAATGTTGTTGACATTTTGGAATGTACCTATTGTGACTTTCACAGGAAAATGTAGGAGCTTAGAGGAAAAAACAAAAACAAAACCCTAGTCAGAATTTCTGTATATGAAGGATTGGAGATTTAGCTCAGTGGTGCCATCACCTGCCTCGCAAGTGCAAGGTCCTGAATTCAATCCCCAGCACCCACCCAACAAAAAAAGAAAGAAATGTACATGCAAAAGAACCATAAGATTTAAAATTTTACCATTTTTCATATTTTTCCTCACAGTAGATAGATGAGTGACAACACATATTACAAACAACATGTAGTTTGTTTTTGTCTTTTACAGCCCCTGAGTCTTTTTTCCTTTTCTCTTAAAAATTCTGTGGGTTGATTGGGGCCTGGTGTCACACACTGATAAACCCAGAACTCTGGGAGATTAAAGCAGGAAGATCACAAATTTGAACCCAGCCTGGGAAACTCATCGACCTGTCTCAAAATTAAAAAAAAAACAAAAAACAAAACAAAACAAAAAAAAAACAAACTGTGTGTAGGATGAGGGATTTATTTCACAATTATAACTAGTATGTTTGATCTTACTTATTCCCTTCTTTCCTGAGTTATACTTCCTGAGATCCTGAATAAGAGATACTACTTTAGCTGGGAATTTGTAATGGTTTATATCTAAAGGTTCCCACAAAGCCTCATGTGCTCATAGGTGGGGCTTCTGGGAGGTGATTGGATCATGGGGGCCTGACACTCATCAGTGGACTAATCAGTGTCCTGATCGGTGGATTAGTCCACTAATAAATTTATAGCTAATGTGATATTGGGAGGAGGTGGGTCACTGGAGGTGTTGCCTAGAAGGGTGTACCTTCTTCCCTCCTCCCTTGATCTCTCTCTGCTTGCTGCCATTCCATGAAGTCTCTTCTGTGTTACCTCTCTGCCATGTCATCCTGCCTTGAAGACAGCTGACTATGGACTGAAACTTTCTATAAACTGTGAGCCAAAATACACCTGTCTTCCTTTGAGTTGTGGGTGTCGAGTATTATGTCTTGGCAACAAGAAAGTAGCTAAGACAGAGTTGATTCTTTTTTCCCTGAAAACTACACTTAAATCCAACTCTGTCAGCCTCATACTCAAAGAATATCTTTGCAGATTTTAGTATGCCTTTACTTGGCTTCCTGATTCATATTTGGCAAATCTCTTTCCTTCACTCTGCTTAGTTTTGGGGGTTGCAAGGTTTTTTCCATACTTGAGTTGGATCTTGAGAAAAAATTGGATTCTAGCTAGCAACCCTAAAACAGTATCTTCTCACTTTCCAATAAAATATCTAAGAAAAAACAATAAGATGATAGTGTTAAGAATTCTACAGCTCACCACAGTGAAAGCAAAGTAACTTACCAGGGTACAGGGAGAACTGATATCAATCAAATCCCAAATCTTAAACGCTCCTGTTCTCAAATGAAGGACAATAAGGCTTCTCTGAAACACTCAATCTCCCACATTGACATCATGTAATAGTTTAAAATAATGTTGTCAAAGTAGTATTTTCTGTGAAACATTAGGGTTGTGGGAATTTGAGCAAACAATTATTTACCTGCTCAGCCCTTTTAAAGGGCTGCTATTTACTGCAATCCTTAAAGTTGCTAGGGATACAGTTGTCATTGCTTTCCTAGTTCTCAAGTTATAATTTTTAAGGCTCCTACACTGTTTTTCATCAAACTCTGTATGTGTTGCGTGTGCGTGCACATGAGTGTGTTTCTGCAAACTAGCTTTTCAGTACTTTTCCACACACCTGCTCCAGTTTGCTAAACTAAATAGGAGCTCACAGCTGACCCAAAGTGCAGACATCTGGCTCTTAATAGTACAAATCCTAGTCAGCAGAATTAAGATCATGTTGGTGAATATAATCAGCTGGACAAATTGGTTATGCTTTCTACAACCTATTATTATTCAGACAGAGGCTAGATAAAGGCAGAGTGGAACAGGGAGGTCACCACAAAAGCTAAATACAACTACTCTAAAGCCCCACAGGAAATATAATTATCTTTCAATCCAAGTTAATTGTCTATTACATGCATTTATTTTCAAAATGAAATGTAGAATTTCACATTTCCTATAAGCAAATAAAATCAATAACTTCCAAAGTATAGAAAACCTCACTACTACTGTTCATTGTTCCACAGTTTAAGCTATTAATTTCACACAAATCACAAGAAATCAAGTTAGGCACGGTGGCACACGCCTATAATCCCAGTACCTAGGAGGCTGAGGCAAGAGGACTGGAAGTTTGAGCCCAACATAGGAAACTCAAGAGAGATCTGACCTCAAAATAGAGAAAAACAAAAGGTTGATATTGCAGCTCAGTGCACAGGCCCTGAGTGCAAGCCCCAGTACAACACACACACACACACACACACACACATACACACACACACACACACACACACACACACACAAAGTTGCAGTTATCACAGGACCCCAGTCCTTGGGGATTAGGGAGGGTCCTGTTTGATTTAAACTCTGAGAATCTCCTCGAATATTTTACAGTCACCTACAGAAATCCAACAATGTAATCAGAATGAGGGAGGGTGCGAGCAGGGTCTCTCTGTAGCAATTACTGTGTAACTTAATAGTGCAAATATTATTATACACAATCTATTTAGTTGTGCACGGGCTCATCAGGTAAGAATTTTCAGCTATCAATTGATTAACTTGATGACTTTTGTCCTCTTTTAATCAGCATGGTACAGAATTATCAGTATGTTCGTGGTTTGGTCTTGTCTTTTAGCACCTGAAGATGCTTCTTAGTTATTCTAGTGAGGCCTCCAAGTATTTTTTAAGTTATTGTAAAGACAACTGCACCCATTTCTTTTGTCTTTCTTTTTGTCACACTGACAGTAAAATATTACAGCTAAGTTACATGTAGCATTAGGCTTTCACATCTTTCTTCACCTGTCTGTTGAAATCCTCTTCATTCTCCATCCACATGTACTCTGCAAATGGGTTTTCCTTCTCATCATGGCCACTGAACCCCTGGTCGTCTTTGGATTTTACACTGGGTGATGTATTTGCCATGCTGGATCCATTCATTATGACAGAATCTAAACAGGAGCAAAAGAAAAGTTAAAAAAGAATATAAAGATCAAGGAAATGTAAACCTGAAACATCCTACCTTTTAAAGTAGCTTTTGAAGTTCTGAGCCAGAGGTTTTAACTTCAACAGTTCTGTTTAACTATAGCTGCTATAAAAATCAACTGCATCCCCCGAAGATATCAAATTACAGGTGTATAATTTTCAGTTTATTAGTACATGTATGTAATGTACATAATGTAGTAGTACATTCTTTGTGGGAAGTTGGTACATGTACATAACACTTCCCAGTTCTTTTTTCATCCCCTCTCTCCCCACCATCTTTTATCCTCTTTTCCTTTGAGAACAATCTATCTCTCTACTACCTATCATCTAACTTTTGTTTTGCTCTTTGTTTTTACTTTGGGTTTCTCATATGAGAGAAACTATGTGTTATTTAAGTTTGTGTGTCTGATTTATTTCACTTAACAGTTATGGTCTCAAGGTATATCCATTTACCTACAAATGACTCAAATTTATCTTTATAGCACAGTAGTACTCCATTGTGTAAATGCCACATTTTCTTCATCCATTTATTTGTTAATGGGCATAAAGGCCAGTTCTAAGATTTAGCTGTTTGAGGGCCAGGGATGTAGATCAGTGGCACAGCCCCTTCCTGGCAAGTGTGAAGCCCAAAGTTTGATTCCTGGTACCAAAACAAATAAATAAAAGATTTAGCTATTATGAATTGTGCTACTATAAACATGGGAATGTATGTATCACTAAGGAAGTGCAAGACCTCTACAATGAAAACTACAGTACTCTGGAAAAGTAAACTGAAGAGGATCTCAGAAAATGGAAGGATATCCTCTGTTTCTTGATAGGCAGAACCAATATAGCTGGTTGGCCATACTTCCAAAATTGATACACAGATTTAACACAATCTCAATCAAAACTCTAACAGCATTCTTCACAGAACTGGAAAAAAACAATCCTAAAATTCATATGGAACCAGAAGAGACCCAGAATATCAAAAGCAATCCTGGATAAAAAGAGCAAAGCAGGAGGCTTCACCAACCCAGACCTGAAGTTACACAGTATTACAAAGTTATTGTGATAAAGACAGCATGGTACTAAGCACAAAACAGACCAACGGTATAGGAACAATGGTATAGAATAGAGGACTCAGAAACAACCCCATGTGCATTCAACTGTTTGATCTTAGAGGGACCAAAAACACACACTGGAGGGAAGACAGCCTCTTTAATAAATGGTTCTGGGAAAAATGGCCACACGCAGAAGACTGAATCTAGACCATCTTTCACCATCTACTAAATGAAAATCAAAATAGATTAAAAGAAGTAAATGTTGAACCACAATCAGAAGAAAAAAACTGATAAAACTTTAAGTCATAGGCATAGCAAAGACTTTTTGAACAGAACCACAGTTATTTGATTCTCAAAACTACAGGAAATAGTTTTGAGAATCAACAAATGGGATCATTTCAAATTAGATGTATGATTCTTGAAGGATTAAAAAAATGGTTAGGCATAGTCTTTCTAGATAAGAGCAGTAGGATGGAGTAGAGGGTAGGAATTTTCCAATGCCAAATTCCTTTACAACCTAATCAGAACACCTTAATGTTTAAATAGGAAGAGAGTGTATTCTTAAGAAACTTTGGAAGTACCACCTGCTCCTTATTCTGATTCTCAAGCTCTTTTTCTTTAAAATGTATGTCAAAAAAAACAATACATGTACACTGTACTGATAAGCAAAAAGGAGAAAAAATTCATGACCCATCCCACTATCTAGAGTTCAGAACAGCTAACAGTGTGGTACATAGATACCCCCAGTGTGTATGTAGAGACAGATAATATGCACACATTCCTCAAGTATCCATTCTAATAGTAACAGGATCATAGGATACATGATGCTTCACTATTTGTTTTTTCTCATTTCTAGCAATATAGCTAGGGTGTGTCCAATGTTTCTACTTCTTGTGTTCCTCTTTTCTAATGATTCCCTTAGAGCAGCTCCTAGAAATTAACTGCTGCATTGAAGTGTGTTCTTTTCTGTTTCTTCCAGTACAGGAAATTGAAATCAGGACTTTGCACCAGCCAGGCAGGCATGGCACCACTGAGCTACATGCACAGCCCTGCGTTTTTTTTTTTTTAAGGCTCTTGATTACCATCCTGCCATAAGAATTTAAATTCCCCCTAGTACTGTGTAAGTGCCTGTTTCCCCACATTGAGTACTGTTATTTTTAAAAACCATCCCCAATCTTTTAAGAGAAAATCTGTATATTTTTGTTTAAATTTCTTTGATTTTTGCTGAAGCTGAATATTTTAAGTTATTTGAGATGTTTGTTTACTGGCCATTTTTCTATTGAGATACATAACTTTTCCTTATCTTTTACTGCATTTCCTATAATTAGAAATGATTTAAAAATACTTCATAACTAAATTTTCACTGTTTGGATTTTTTCTTTCTTTTGAGACAGGGTCTTTCTCTGTAGTCCAGGCTGGCTTCAAACTTACAGTGATCCTCCTGCCTCAGCCTCCTAAGTGCTGGGATTACAGGCATGTGCCACCACACCCAGCTGCCAAAATTTTATAACTAAAATAAATATAATGTTCATTACATTTGCTTAACTTCTTGGTAGTTTTTGCTAGGTTGAATTTTTGTCTATGGCTTGTATATGCCTGTCAATGGCTTTTAAAGAAATGTCTATATTAAAAGAACTATTTATTTTGGCTTCTAAATCTATTTTGGTTATTTTTGTTACCATTTGGAATAATGTCTTCTTGTTGTTGTTATTTGCTTAAATCTTAACTATTCTTCAAAAAACACTCCAGTCTTTACTCACTTCTTTCTCTAAATTGTTGTATCTGGGGAGTATAATGTTAATACTACTTAATTGCTTAATGTTTTCCCTTCCAATTTAGATTCTCAACTCCTGAAAAACAAGATTGACATGTATACATTTTGTAACTCACTATAGCATTAGGCATTCCAAAAATACTTGTGGTCTAATTATACTTTGGCAACTTTCTCTATCCCATTTCCTTTCTACCACAACTCCATCCCCACCCAGACTCTCCTTGAGGCTTCTTTAAATTTTCTTTAAGGTATTATTTTCCTCTTGTTTCCATTGAGTCAACACTCTAACTTTTTTTTATCTGCTTCTTGGTAAACTAAAAACTTGTTTTAGCTTCTTTAGAGTTTCTGCAATTTCCTTACCTGGATGGTCATCAGAAATGTAATCCCATAGAAAGACAAGGCAGAATTGTGAAAAGTAAAGAATAAATGGAAAACTCATTGGTAGTTCTAAAAGAATTTCATTTGAAACAAAATTTATTTAATTAATCATAAGTTTAAAAGGGGGATCTAGTATGTGCTGCCGAAGTGAGCACAAAGGGGACCTGGTATAAAATACATCTGTTTAATATATTTTATTGTTGTTTTTGTTTTTTTGGTACCAGGGATCGAACTCAGGTCCTTGCATTTGCAAAGCAAGCACTGGAGCCACTGAGCTAAATCCCTAGCCCTGTTTAATATATTTTAGATAGAGTCAAAAGTAATCACTGTCTGTTCCAAAATAGATTCATAGTAACAGTTACATAGGGCTGGGGAAGAAAATAATAGAGTGTGCAGTTTTTTATTTTTACCACTTCCATTTTCAGCATAACAATTAACGCAAGTGTTCTTGAAATGCCAGGGCAAATCCATAAGTAAGCATGTATTCCTAAGCATAGGGATTTAAAGGTCCTTAACTTTCCTGGACAGCAGGTTATATGGTATTATATCTCCAAAAACTTATTTGGCAGTTGTTTACAGCCAGTAGTGATTTCTCCCCAACAATATGGAAATCATCCACAGAGAATCAGGGTTCAGTTTTCTAAAACATCTGCCATCATCCAAAAAATAAATCCTGACTGCGTATGATTGTATAGAAAAAGAGAAGGCAAAGAAAGAACAGAATAACTCAGATGACTTAAGAACTAGGTGGAGCAGACAGAACAAATTGCAGGATGTACTTGTTCATGAGAAAAGGAATGGAAAATTACCATAAACTCAACATGGGGATGTTACCTGTGATTTTATATGTGTAATCTGGGTTTCATCCATGGTTCCCAGTTCATAACTCCTATAGTGTTTGTCATTTCAGTATGACTTCAGAGGTGAAACAGAGTACTTCTTTCTTTCATCTTTCTCTGGCTCCCTCTCTCCCTCCCCTCTTCCCCTCTCCTCTTCCTTTTCTCTCCTTTTTCCCTTTCCCTTTCTCCTTTTACCCTTTCATTTCTCCCAAAGGAAGCACAGAAACTAGAATTTCTTTTTCATACCAGGTCACAGAAACTAAAACTATAATCTCCACTCCCCCTTCTGACTTGGAGCTGGCCATAAAGAAATTCTCTGACCTATCTTGTGTAATAGTAGATCATAAGATCCTCTCTTTAGAAAGGGTCCTGTGCCATAGCAGGGAGGAAGGAATGTTGCAAAGAAAAATCTCAACAGACAGGCTCTGCTGGATCACCCCACTCCATCTATTAACATTAGATCACATATGCATTCTGCCCAATCAGTTTGCTACATGGTTATCCACACTTTAATCATGCTTATTCAATAAAGTCTAAAAAAAACCAACAACACAAAATGACTGAGTCTGGAGAGCTTCTGGGTAGCTGAACATATGGAGGTTTATAGAATAACTCCACTGGGATGCAAGTTCCTGGGCTCAGAATTCTTTCAAACTTCTCTATACATGTCTTTTCTTCTGGCTATTTATCTGTATCCTTTAAAATACCCTTAATAATACACTAGTAAACACAGAGTTTCCCTGAGTTCTCTGAACTACAGTAGCAAATTAATTAAACCCAAGGATGGAGCTGTGGGAATCCCAACTGCAAACCAGTTGGTCAGAAGTTTCAGAGACCTAGAAATTCTGACTGGCATCTGAAATAAGAGCCAGTCTGCTGGGACTAACCTCTCATTCTGTGGAATTTGATGCTACCTCCAAGCATAGTGTCAGAAT